CTGAAACATTTGTAACTATAATTAAAAACAAATAAATATCGTTATTATTATCCTTTAGATGGATTCTTGGATTGGTCACACCACATCTCTGAGGTACGTCAAAGATTAAGTTCAATTTGTTAGAGAATCCGGGTAGTTGCAAGGTATATGAATAAAAACAGTGTGAAAAGTATATATTATGCAAACTTTGAATCAGTGCGTATGTATGGACTTATTTTCTATGATAGTAGTCCTTGTTATACAAAAACGAGTACATAGAATATTGAGTATAAAGATAGCTGTAAAGGTTCTTTTAGATCCAATGGTCTCTTGGCTGTATATACGTAGTCGTGCCATAAGTTCTGTCCCATGATAATCTCATGATAAAAATGAAACAAGATAAGATATATTTATATGAAAGATATTATTTATTCGACAACATTTTTAGAATTCATAATCAAACAGTTTTATTCAAAATGTCCCCCCTTGGCCTTCACACACTGCTTCAATCTCGCGGGCCACTCATCTATCACTGCACGCACAGCTTCCAAAGGAATAGCTGCCGCTGATCGGATCAAATCCGCTTTCAGGGACTCGATATTACGGTGGGCTTTGGAGCAGGCCAACTGCTCTAGCAGGTCCCACAACTTGTAGTCTAAAGGATTGAGGTCCGGACTCCCTGAGGGCCAATCTTCCGCAGCAATGAACTCTGGCACATTGCTTTCCAGCCAGCGCTGCGTACTCTTAGCCTTGTGAGCGGGGGCGGAATCCTGCTGGTAGACCCAGTGTTGGTTGGCAAACAATGTACCACTTAAAGGCTTGACGATAGGATCCAGTATGTCGCTCTGATAGTTTGCCGCTTTTATTTTCACGCCCTGTTTACAGAAATGGAGCTGAGTGACCCCTTCGTAGGACACCCCCCACCAAACCATGACTGACGCAGGGTGGTGGCCTCTCTCAACTCTCGGAATGATCTCCGAAGCTTCCTGTGAACTCCTTGCATACACTTTGTCATTTTGTCGGTTGAATTTTTCTTCTATGGTGAAGATTTTCTCATCCGTGAACAAAATCTTTCGGAATCCCCCAGCTGCGTACCTCTCCAAGAGCTTCTTGGATCTTGTCGCCCTGATGTGTCGCAAGGTGGCCGTAAGTCGCTGGCCCGTACGTCTCCGGTAAGCCCCTAGCCCTAGGTCTTGTTTAATGATGCGCGACATCGTCCGGACAGGAATCTTCATTTCCCTGGATAGGATCTTCTGCTTCCGGAGTGGATTCCTTTGAATCCTGGCTTTTACGGCTTTGATGGCTGCTGGAGTCCTTACTTGACGAGGTCTTCCGCTTCTTGGCCTGTCATCAACAGAGGACGTCTCATTGTACCGCTGAATGGTCCTAGACACAAATTTACGCGATATTTGAAGGCCGCGTAAGAGTTCAAAAATCTGACTAGCACTGTGATTACACTTATGTAAAGCTATCACTGCAATACGGTTCTCTGCCTTGCCCCACTCCATCGTTATGCTTCGAGAGATCAATACAAACTGAGGTATATGTAATTACCCGAAAAGCGCTTAATCAACTGACACCACAATGTAAACAATCGGACAAGTATTAACAGGTCTACACTTGTTTGAAAACGAGGGACAGAACTTATGGCATGACTACGTAATATACTAAGTGACATATAAATCTGAACACCCAGTTTAAATGGTTTTATTTTAATAAAATTTTGTATAAGTACTTAATGAAGCATAATAAGTAAATGATAAAAAAATTTCAAAATGATTACACTGCTTTAAAGCCCTTTGACCTTTAATAATGTGTGGATGCACCCTGATGTGCTACGCATTCTCCAACGCGCCTAGGCATGCTTCTGATCAGGTGGTCAATGTCCTCCTGTGGTATCTCATTCCAGGCAACCACCAACTCCTCTCGAAGTGCTTCTAGAGTCTGAGGAGGACGTTGCAGGGCCAGGGTGTCAAGATAGGGTAAAAGATGGGGTTCTAGAACTTCGTAGATATAACGCTGAGCGTTCATGTTACCTCTGATGAAGATTAAAGGTGACCTGGAACCATAAGCTATAGCACCCCAAACCACAACGCCAACAGTGTGATGAACATGTCTTTCAACAAAATACTGTGGATTCCTCCTTTCACCACGTCGCCTTCTAACCCTGGCACGACCATCGTGCATGCCTAAACAAAATCGAGACTCGTCACTAAAGACAATACTGTTCCATTCCTGATCCCAGAGTGACCGTTGTCTGCACCACTCAAGGCGATTACGTCGGTGTTCTCGAGTTAAAGGGAGGACCCAGTGTGGCCGGTATGAAAACAACCCAAAACTTCTCATTCGTCGGTAAACACTTCGCATGCCAATAGGTCTTCCATGTTCTGCAAACCATTCATTTGCAATGGACTTGGTAGTGGAGAAACGGTCCCTTAAGGCCAATAATCTAAGGCGGCGATCTTCACGGTCTGTTGTTCTACGGCGGCGTCCAGTTCCCCTTGCTCTTTGCGTACGGCCTTCTCGAAGCCATGCCTGACAACACCTAACCACAGTGTCTACACTTCTTTGCACTCTAACTACAATTGCCCGAAAATAAAGTCCAGCTTTCCGAAGTCCCACTATACGGCCCCTATCAAACTCACTAAGTTGACGAAATCGTACAGGTCTCCGTACTCTAGGCATCGTAACCGATCGTAAAGGATGTCAAGAACCCAAATCCGCCAACGTTGATTCTTTACTGCGGCTGAAATATTCATTTTTAGAGCGTTAGTGAATTAATAAAAAGCAGTATAAAAACCGGAATGTCCAACTGATAAGGCTGAAAATTTTTTCACTCGTTATTTACAGTAAGATAAATACATTCACCAACTTTTATTAAAATAAAACCATTTAAACTGGATGTTCGGATTTATATGTCACTAAGTATACTTATGTATATGAATGTTTGGTTTTCTTTTTTAAGAACAGAGACATGCTTACATGTTCTCCTACAAGAGTATCATACCTAGAATACAAGAAATTTAAACTTAAATTAACCTTGGCATAGACTAACTTTAAGTTAAAAGACGCGCATATCTCAAATTTTTCAACTGCTCGCCAAACTTACTAAAATTGATTACCAGTAAGTCAAAAGGCCTTAGTTAATATACCGCCAAATAGTGTAAAAGACTATACCAGAGTCTGAATACGTGCACCTTTTTTTATAACGCTCGCATTTTTATTTTATTTATTGTATTTTATTTGTATGTACAAGTGGTATAGACATTGGAAAGCCATGCTCATTGTCAGGTTAATTATTAAAAATTAGTTGTTATTACTATGCTATCACAATATCCCTTCATTTACAGCTTCATCCATCAATATCAAGGACACATCTGGAAAATTTTTTCTTGTCCTGAAAAAGTAACGTGAGTTTGGTCGATTTATCAAATTAGAATGACCGTTCGAAAGACTTCATTAGCATTTGATTTAAATAAACAATGATTTACTCTGCAATAAAAAAATATTTTAATGTTACATAATAGAACAAAGATTTAATATAATTGACTCACTTATTCAGTAAGTAAGATAATAATAGCCGTTTATTGGCTTCAAGCTCAATTTGCTTCAAAATGAGGTTCAAGAGTATCAAAGATTTGTCGATGAGGAAAAGTAATAAGACTAAAAGTAGTGTATTAACTTACATTTTCAGAGCTGTATTTTTGTTGACAAGTTGCGGTTGAAGAAATAGTGCACAATGCAATGCACAAAACTTTCATTTTTTACAAAAAAAAAACGAAAACGCTATGTTTGAGAATACTGCCCCCGAACCAGCAGTTAAAAGAAAGCGGCGTGTCTAAGTATCCTGAAAGATATAGAAACATAATAAATATCTTCCACTCCGATGACCTCTACACCACTATTTTCTTTTTTTACGACACCTTTTTTCAGCACAACAGCCATCACAACCAAATAAAGTACGAAACATACAACATCTTTCTGTGCACTACATTTATTACACATCCTAAACGAGTCTGGTATAGGACGATAACCATTCCGTGTCTGTTTTGTCCCCTTTGTCCCTTATAACAATTGTCTTTATCTCCGTGAAAAGACGGCGGTCTGCTGCTGGACGCTGTCCCTGCTGTCCTATTAAGCATGTCATTGTCGCTGGTAGAGATCCATCTTTAGATGTTTTCCGGTAGGGCATGTTTCTATACAGGGAATCGTATAACTTTAGATAGTAACTACAAAATAAATGCCAGGGACCGCAGCTGCTATGAGCATCTCAAAGAAACTTTTTTATCTGATTTTTGAATTGCCTAAGGTAAGAACTGGGAAAAGCCTCCTGTTTTACATTGTTCTATAATCTCTACACCTAGGGGGAAAGGAGTGGTCGAATCGGCCAGTTCTGAATGTACAGAGCTAGACACGGTTAGGATGAGAGGCCGAAGTTAGGCGGGCCTGTCTGGCAGGCACATCGCATGGCGATATCATGGAAGAGAGTCCTGAGGAGCAAATCCCGTTGGCGTAACGGTAGATCGCCAATGGCCCGCCGGTACAAGAGTGTCCAGAGATAGTCTGTTAAAGAAGGGTAATCGATCACTCGCTCTACCCTCTTCTAGACAACATCGCTCTGAATTCCTGCATGTAGAGTGCTGTCATCATCAGAGCTGTGGATTGGATTGATCGTGTACGAAAGGAGGTCGGTGATATGTAAGAGGTACTGTGTCGGAGTCAAGACCGATCCCTGGGGAATACCCGAGTTGACGTTGTGAGATGATATGATAAAAACTAATCAAATCGTACGTATTTTGACACTAAAATGCGAACTCTCCGGGTTACATGTTTATCGGAGCGGTTAACTAATTTTTAAACGATCCAAAAGTTTCTGTACGTATACTAAGTGACATATAAATCCGAACACCCAGCTTAAATGGTTTTATTTTAATAAAATTTTGTATAAGTACTTAATGAAGCATAATAAGTTAATGATAAAAATTTCAAAATGATTGCACTGCTTTAAAGCCCTTTGACCTTTAATAATGTGTGGATGCACCCTGATGTGCTACGCATTCTCCAACGCGCCTAGGCATGCTTCTGATCAGGTGGTCAATGTCCTCCTGTGGTATCTCATTCAAGGCAACCACCAACTCCTCTCGAAGTGCTTCTAGAGTATGAGGAGGACGTTGCAAATTGATCAATCTCCTACCCATCATATCCCACACGTGCTCAATTGGGGATAAGTCGGGAGACCTTGGTGGCCATGGTAACAATGTGACATCATTATGTTGAAAGAAGTCTATTGTGACTCTTGCAACATGTGGTCGGGCATTATCTTGTTGGAAAGTTGGATCTGCCAGGGTGTCAAGATAGGGTGAAAGATGGGGTTCTAGAACTTCGTGGATATAATGCTCCGCGTTCATGTTACCTCTGATGAAGATTAAAGGTGACCTGGAACCATAAGCTATAGCACCTCAAACCATAACTCCAACAGTGTGATGAACCTGTCTTTCAACAAAAAACTATGGATTCCTCCTTTCACCACGTCGCCTTCAAACCCTGGCACGACCATCGTGCATGCCTAAACAAAATCGAGACTCGTCACTAAAGACAATACTGTTCCATTCCTGATCCCAGAGTGACCGTTGTCTGCACCACTCAAGGCGATCGGTGTTCTCGAGTTAATGGGAGGACCCAGTGTGGCCGGTATGAAAACAAGCCAAAACTTTCCATTCGTCGGTAAACACTTCGCATGCCAATAGGTCTTCCGTGTTCTGCAAACCATTCATTTGCAATGGACCTGGTAGTGGAGAAACGGTCCTTTAAGGCCAATAATCTTAGGCGGCGATCTTCACGGTCTGTTGTTCTACGGCGGCGTCCAGTGTCCCTTGCTCTTGGCGTACGGCCTTCTCGAAGCCATGCCTGACAACACCTAACCACAGTGTCTACACTTCTTTGCACTCTAACTGCAATTGCCCGAAAAGTCCAGCTTCGCGAAGTCCCACTATACGGCCCCTATCAAACTCACTAAGTTGACGAAATCGTACAGGTCTCCGTACTCTAGGCATCGTAACCGATCGTAAAGGATGTCAAGAACCAAAATCCGCAAACGTTGATTCTTTACTGCGGCCGAAATATTTTTAGAGCGTTAGTGAATTAAAAAAAGCAGTATAAAAACCGGAATGTCCAACTGATAAGGCTGAAAATTTTTTCACTTGTTATTTACAGTAAGATAAATACATTCACCAACTTTTATTAAAATAAAACCATTTAAACTGGGTGTTCGGATTTATATGTCACTTAGTATATATCACGATAAAATTTGATGGATCTTCATCACGTACGGTATTAAAACTTCGGGAAGTTATTACTTAGGCGTTCTTAATAAAAAATTGCAGCAGAGTTTTCTCTTTTTGGCCTCTTTTATCACCTTTAATTCGCAATCTCAACTCCTCAACGTACTTCGTAGCTACCCCGTAGAATCACATGATCATTTCGACCCCCAAAAAATATAAACCGTATCTGTTTGAAGGATAAGCTAGGTTTTTTACAGTCCGTTAAGTTAGAAAAGAAGGGGACTGTATCGTTCTTATTTACGATGTCTTTAGTGCCAAATGAAATTTATCACTTTTTGTATTGTATTTCATATATCGTAATAAGATCGGATTAGTTTGATGAGCATGGTACACTTTTTTGCTCAGCCTCTTGGAGCAGTTTCTTTTGGCATTGTGTGTACCCTACAGGATGGAAAAATGATAAGAGTACATAGAAAAATGACGTCAAGATTATCATCTTTTCATAAAGAATTATGTTCTGCACAAATTAACGCTTCTACAAATCAGTGCTATGGCCATGTTTAAGAAAAAAATGAATGGATCAAGTCAGTAAAACTGGCTCATACAATTAATCATAGGCCCGAATCATTTGGCAATGTGGCGATCTAGATATCCTTCTTTTGCCCTTTGGATATTACGAGGAATGTCTTTTAAGTTTTGCATATGGAAGTAAAACAACACGGTATGTAGTTTTAAATGTCTTTATTGTTTTTTGAAGTATACTCCACGAAGATTAATACACATGCGCTCGAACCAATTTTCGAAGCACTTATTTCACTCGTTTGCTGGTAGATCCAAAACGTCATTTTTGAATTTGTCAACTGCTTCTTCTGGTGGCTGGAACCTTTGACCACGCAGTCTGTTTTTAATTTCCGGGAAAGTAAAGAAATCGTTAGGACTTAGATCGGGACTATATGGAGGATGGTCCAATAATTCCACTTTTCTTCCGTTAAATGCTACCTTGTTTTTTGGGCTGTGTGCGAGCTTACATTGTCTTGGTGGAGGATGATTCTTCTTTCGGGGTTGATTTTTCGAAGCTCGGTGATGACTTTTGGCAAACAAATGGTAGTATACCAATCCGCAGTAACAGTTCTTTGCTGGTTAAGAGGAATTGTTGCAATATGACCTGCTTTTGACACAAATGTCGCGACCATTTTTTTCGAAACACTTCGAGAACGGATGACATTTGTTGGCGTTTCTTCACCTTGGAACACCCAAACAGCCGACTGTCGTTCATTTTCTGGTTCATAACAGTAAATCCACGATTCATCACTAACAATGCTGTACACATTTTTTGAGTTTCCGGAATTGAAACGATCAAGCGTATTTGACACCAATTAACCCTGGCTGCTTTCTGCTATTCAGTCAACAGGTGGGCTATCCAACGAGAAACTAATTTTCTTACTCCTAATTCTTCATGTAAAATTTTTTGAATAGAGGTCTTTGAGATCTTCAGGACCCCTCAATCTCACGATATGTCACGTGTATATCTTCAATGATGAGTTTGCGTACAGCATCGACGTTTTCCTGGGTGACTGCCGTTTTTGGTGCACCCACCCTACACCATACCAACGGAAAATTGTCGACTGCTGTGGCGCTTCGTTGCTGAAAACAGACAGTAACTCAGCAAGGCATTCTTGTTGCGATAATTGTCTCTGAAGGTTGTAATAAATTCTGGCGCGAAAATGTTCTCGGTTGAGTTCCATTTTTCTAATGACTTCGTAACACTTAAAAATTCACTGTAGTGAGAACACTGCACGTATTGTTGTGAAACTTTGAATTTAAGTTTACTAAAGAGTGAGGTTAAGATTCAGTACTGACGTTCAATCCGCGCGGCCTACTATGTTTCTATATGCAAAACTTAAAAGACATCCCTCGTACCGATCATCTAAAAACGTTGCTATCCAAAGACAACAGCTAGCATGAGGTTGTTTGTCGTTTTTTTAATGAACCAGACGCATCACCAACAGCCATCGCGCAAAAATTCTTAATACCCTCCCAGGAATGCGAAGAATCCTCCCAAAAGCTATCCTCTCTATAGTTACATATGCTCTGAAATATCTGGCTGTTAAATGCTTATACTCAGTATATGAGCCTCGTTTTTTCAATTTTAAGCTGTCAGTCGGCTCGTTATCAGTGAGATGTCTTTATCGTGCAGGTATTTTAGTTTCTGTTTTTATTCAAGTTTTAATCCAGTCTTTCTGGTTTGATATTTACTGCATTCACATGTACGTCACTAATTTGGCCTTTTCTTATATGTGCAAAGGCTTCTTTTTAAGCTTTCAACCATATGTCCTCGTTGCCCAGAGTTCATTGGTTATTGCACTTATATGTATAATCCAACAGATTCTCCTACTCTTTTTGTATATAGTTGATGTTTATCCCTTAGACGAAGATTCCTTATGGTAAAGTCGCGATATATGCATATATTTTCACCTTTATGCGTACCTATATGCCTTTGACCTATTTAAATGTTATATAATTTTCTGTAATTCCTAATGTCTTTATGTATCTTATATTTATACGTATCTTGCCGCCAGATTTCCTCAAACGCATATATGACTTTTAGATTCACATTGACAGGTCTTACATCATGTAACATGATCAATATCTATATCGGTTAACTTTTAGGCATTCTTTGACTACCGATGCTAAATCTGCGTTGTCCATGGATCAGATTTGTGAGAAATATTACTTTGACATCTAAAGGGAACCATGTTGTTTGTGTTGTAAGGTACATTAAAAAATGGCATATAACCTTATGCTGGCTTATCGCTTTGAGGGTTGGAAGCGATTCTGGGCTCTTCTGGCTTTACGCGATGCCATCTCCAAATTGTGGTGACGGTCTCGCCCACCCTCAGCATGCCACAAGACCGTTCGATCTAGGATCGCAACACACTGCATAGGAATCAAGAACTAAATCAGCTGTCCTGGAAGACGGATAAACAAAACATACTGTCATTAATTGTCGTTGTACTTGGAAAATGCTACCATGATCTCCGAAATGCCGTATAGTAAACAGAAATTAAAACATAATGTGGTTTGCTAGTCCTATGAGTCCAAGAATAGTCAAAGAAAGAGGCTCCCTGTATGTTTGGTAGTTGCGGTAATTTTATCTAATTATGCGTTTTTTTTCATTTAGCACAACCTTTCCCTAAATGCTTATAGTTTCTAGTCACATTGACGCAACCTCCAGGGAGCAAGACCCGAGTAGTACCCAGGCAGCTTTGATCATAACTTCAGCAATATTCTGATTCGTATTCTTTCCATAAACCTATCCAAATTTGCTCCAAAAATGTATCAAAGAATTGTTTAAGCTAATTCTAAAAATTTTTTTTTCGGCTCCGCTCAAAGTGCATTTATATTTCTGGGGAATTTAAGACAAAAAGTTAATTTAAAACGTTTCTATAAAGTTCATAGTTTTCGAAATATTAGCAATACAATATTGGAAAAAGTGCGAGATACGTCATCTAAAACTCTGAAAAACAATATAAAAGACGAAGATTGTAATGTTCCTAAATATTCTTCTAACATCCATTAACAAAACTTCAGAGCATTTCAGGACGTGTTGTTATTACAAACCCTTGCTTTTTAACTATTACTCGAGCATGCTCTTGTGCTCACACAGATCATACTGAGCGCGTGCAAAATTAAGAAACAAAAGTTTACAATAACAATACCACCTGAGAGGCTTCGAGATTTTGTTGATGGAAGTCTGAAGAGTATTTAGGAATATTAACAACATTAAAATTTGTATTCTTCAGATTGTTTTTCGGGGTCGAAAATGGCATATTGCACTTTTTCAAATATTTCTGTCCTGGAAGACAGATAAGCAAAATATACTGTCATTAATTGTCGTTGAACTTGAAAAATGTTACCATAATGTCCGAAATGCCGTACAGTAAAAAGAAGTTAAAACATAATGTGGTGAGCTTCGGCCATACAATTACATACAGTCCTATGAGTCTAAGTATAGTCAAAGAAAAAGGTATGTTTGGTAGTCGCGGTAATTCTCTACTTCTGCGTTTTTTTTCATTTAGCACAACCTTGTCCCTAAAGGCTTATAGTTTTTAGTAACCTTAACGCAACTTCCAGGGAGCAAGACTCGAGTAGTACCCAGGCTGCTTTGAGCATAACTTCAGCAATATTCTGATCCGTATTCTTTCCACAATCCTATCTAAATTTGCTCCAAAAATTTAACAAATAATATTTTAAAATAATTCCAAAAGATATTTTTTTTTCTGCTCCGGTCAAAGTGCATTTAAATTTCTGTGGCATTTTAACCAAAAACACACACTGTATAGGAATTAAGAACTAGATTAGCTGTCCTGGAAGACAGATAAGCAAAACACACTGTCATTAATTGACGTTGTACTTGAAAAATGCTACCATAATGTCCGAAATGCCGTACAGTAAAAAGAAGTTAAAACATAATGTGGTGAGATTCGGCCATACAATAACATATAGTCAACGCCAAACAAAGTGGCGTGCACGTCATCACGATAAAAATTCCCGGACCTAATGCCTAGGTTTCTATCACAAACAATTGCTCTATTGCAGTTTCATATTAATGTGATATATAAATTGTAAAATGGTCATTACTCTCTTATTATGGTTAATAGTCATATAAACATTGTTATTAAAATATCACATAAGTTGCTTTCTGATAAATTTAGACGCATTATGTGAAATAAAATGTTTTGCAAACGCTCCAATCACTTATCGACATGTAAACGCACTAAACCGATTTCGCAGCGTTGACACATTGTCACCTTGAAACTTATTTAAACTGGGAACTGACATTTGTATTAATTTTGACACTGAATCAATTTGTGGCACTTCAAATCTTTATAAATCCTTTGGCCCCGCATACTGTAAATCAACAACTGTTTGTTTCAAAACAAAATTATTCATTTTACGAGTAGATAAAGGCAATTTTGGTATATAAAGATGCCCAAACAGTTAAATAGTTGGTGTAAGGAACTCGTGGCCTCGTTAAAGCACTACTTTGAGCAAGAAAGGGACAACAACGGGCCTTTGTTGCCTTTAAATGCTGTTCAAGAGGTAGGTTACTAATAATTATATGTAATGTATATTAATAATAGTGAAATTTTATTTCATTTTTTGTAGCGTGTTGCTGCTGCTTTAAAAATTAGTTTAAGGACAGTTAGTCGTATTTCCGAGGGTGTGAAAAGTGATGCAAATTTAGAATCGCCCAAGAAAAAGCGGAGTTATATTAAACGTGTAACCAACACAGCGACATTGGATACAAGTGCCATTCGAGAAGTGATCTATAATATGTATCACAAAAGTAAGATCTTATTATAATAACTTATCAGAAATTTGCATTAATTTGTTAACTAAATTATAATGTCATATTACACATGGTTTCAGAAGAACAAGTTACGATACAAACTTTATGGTCTCGATTAAGAGATAGGGCATTATTTGATGGTAGTGCCACGTCTTTAAGGCGGTTGCTTAGAGATCTTGGATTTAAGTGGCTTAAGGACAATCCGCGACGAGGGCTCATGGAACTACCAAGTATAGCTTTGAAAAGGGTGGAATTTCTAAGGCAATACAATCAAGCCAAGGTTGAGGCCTTATACCAGTTTGTCTTCCTCGATGAAACTTGGATATTTCAAAATGGGACCATAGGTCGCTCTTGGCAAAATGGAAACCAAAAAAGCGTGAAAGCTATTAAAACAGATGGTAAAAGGTATGTACTTTTACACAATTTGCACTATAAAATTTAAAACTAATATATTTTAGATACATTATATTACATGCTGGAAATGAAAATGGGTTTATTGAGGGTAGTGAAGCGATATTTTCTTCGAAAACAAAATTGAGCGATTACCATGGAGAGATGAACCAGGACGATTTTTTGAAATGGTTTCAACATCAGTTATTAGAAAAATTGGAGAGTCCATCTATGATTATACTGGATAACGCCCCTTATCACAGCATGATATTGAACAGAGTGCCCAACAATGCATGGACAAAAAAAAATATCCAAGACTGGTTGACAAATCAAAACATACCATTTTTAAACACAATGTTTAAAACAGAGCTATTGAGTATTGTTGCTCGGTACATAATGCTTCTTAATTATATATATTTTGGTCGACAGTTTATATTTCTTTTGTTTATTCCTATTCTTAAAATAACTGCTTTTTTAGAAACAAACCACCTAAAATATACGTGATTGATGAATTGGCGGAACAACATGGGCACAAAGTTCTTCGTCTGCCTCCTTACCATTGCATATTTAACCCTATTGAGTTAATTTGGGGCATAGCAAAAGGTTACTATAACAGACATATTGGTAGAGATGGTAACAGTGAAAAAGACTGTTTGGATATGTGGAACGAGGCTCTACAAACGGTTACCCCAGACATGTGGAAAAATAGTGTTCGACATACTGAGCAAGAAATTTTTAAATGGTATGAAAGAGAACGAATATTTGATCGACCAGACATCGAACCTTTAATAATCAACTTTGAGAGTGATGAAGATTCAGATTCAGACAGCGCTGAAGAAAGAAACTCCGACTAACTTTATTGTACAGAAAAAGCTTACACCAGTAGCTTACCTAATTTTAGAATGCATTTTTCTGTATGAATTCTGTAAAATAAATACCATGCATAAAATTTGGAGGACCCCATTTGGATTTTTATTCAGTACCTTTAAGCTATCAATTAAA